AGTACAGATCAATCTAGTCACGAATTGGAATGCTATCTAGATGACATTGCAGAGTTTGCACTGCAAATCGACGATCCTCTAGAGTTGGATCCAATTCCTATTGTCATCGAGTGTCTGCGAGAGTACACTACCATCAAGCGGTGGCTAGAGAAGAGACCAGCCAACGTCGTCCTCACCGCTGCAACTCGCGAAAGTACTACTCAACCTTCATTGCCTAGTCAACTAGTCTACATACCGGACAATTCACTAAACAAGCGGAAACGAACCGAAGAGGAGGAAATCTTTACAGATGCTGCATCGGAGCTGCAAGTCCCAGGTGCCAAAAGGCAACGAGTGGAGCCTTTAGGCGACGCTCAGACTCCAGTTGTAGCCGGTCCAAGCGGTACCAACGCATTCACGGCCGTTTTTGATGCTAATTCACCTTCGGCTTCCACAAATGGCGCCCCTGGAAAGCAAAGATACGTCTCTGCTAGATCTACGCCTCGTTTTGAGTCATTAGATCTTCTCGACATGACACGGCAAGCTGAAAGTCAAACTGGAGTTGATGTACCCTCGAGTGCCACTGCTGGACAGATGCAATTAATTCCTGGGACTGAAACTGGTATTGGCGCTGAAATAACACAGAAACCGGTGGAGTCCCAACAAGTGTCTGCAAAATTAGCAAGCTTAGATGCTCCGACCAAAGATTTCATCCATGCCAGGGGTAATAACCATGACCTCGAAGGAAACACCAAAACACTCAGCCATGTTTCTGAAGAGTCGGAGGAGGAATCAGAGGAGGATTCCGATAGTGAAGACGAATCCGGTGTACCTGAAGACGAAAAGGAGAGTGCGATGCCTGATGCTCCAAAAGAATATATTCCCAAGGCCACCCTTGAAACAGAAGCCTCGCCTCAGACAATTCTAGATGACTCTAGCTCTGAGGAAGACACTGAATCATCCGAAGATGAGGACGATGTCCCAATTTCCGACACGATACAGCCTCTTGTACAAAGTACTGAAAACACAAGCGTCACTGGAGTAGACCAGGAAAAGTCCGAAGCAAGTCATAGCAGCAACAAGGCCGGGAAACAGCCTATGAAAACTTCAGAGTCAAATGTAGCCAATATTCTGCCTAATGAAGTTTCAACTTTGGCGAAAGCAACACCTGCTGCGACCTCCTACCCAAACCCAGACACTGCATCAACATCGGTGGATCTCCTCAAACAATCACTAAATCCTCAATCGACCCCTCCCAGTCCTCCTAAGCCACCCAGCGGCCAACTGGCCCAACATGCAAGCTTAGAGGTGCCCCATGTCCCTACCATAGTCAAGACGAAATTCCGAAAACCGCCTCCGACCGCCGCTCAATGCATGGGTGGAGATCCCTACTGGGACGATTTTGAGTCTAGTAGCTCAGATAGCTCAAGTAGCGATGATGAAGCACCGCCAAGGGGAACCAAGTCGATAATTTATTCTTCGTTTGTTCCCTCCCCTGTACCTATTCCGCCAGAACTGCTTGCTCCATTCACAGCACCTGCGCCTGCGATCAAACCAATGGATCAGAAGACAGAAATTAAAGAAGGCTCTAGCAGCCATAAGGGCAGTGTGGACTCAGAGGACGATGCTGACGATGAGTCTGGCTCAGAAAGCGACAGTTCTGTCCCAAGTTCACCAGTTTCTGAAGAAAGCTTTATTCATGGAGTAGAGGAGGTTCCGAAAGCATTCAAGGCTCTCGTACCTTCAGTCGAAGAACTACATCCCGAAGCACAAAGCTCTTCGACCTTGCTCAATGAACCATCACCGCCTGTCACTGAAACCGTTCAATCATCCGCATTCGACGCACTCAATCCTGCCGCTGAAACTATCATTGAACCTGCCAGCCAGGCCACTCTCATCGGAACCCAGGAACCGCCATCAACTGCTGTCAACATATCACCTCCAAATCCATTTGCAAAAGCAATTGAAATTGCCAGCAGAGTAGCGCAAGAGTGGGCCCCGCGGAATGGAAGCCCTTCTGCTACAAATACTAGAGCCAAGAAAGAGCCAGCTAAGAAAACAGCTGCCAAGAAGGCAACACCAAAGGCCCCGATCAACTTGAAAAGTACACCCGTACCACTTCCGAAGTTTGACGGCATAGCATCAACCTTGACGGCTCCCAAGGTTTCCAAGGCAAAGTCTACAGGTAGTTCGAAAGCCAGCTCCTCCAAGGCTACTACTACTGCAGGTGCATCAAAAGCCAGTACGGCGGCGGGTTCTTCAAAGGCTAGTGCGAGCGCGCCAAAGAAAGCCGCCAAACCACGGAAGAATGCTGCGAAATAATAATTTTTAAAACTTAGAAGCGGGTTTGAACTATTCGGTGGTTGCGCGGTTTTTCATATGTCATTTAGCAAAGTTTCATGTATTCTATCATATTTACTCTTTAATATCAATCGTCATCTAGTCATAGAAACCAACACCTGTAGTGCTGTGATAACCGCATGCTGTTATAAATTGGAATAGAAGATCTGCGGATTGTATCGAATTTAGAATGCTGCTCGGTTCGTTACTTTACAGATTACTGTGTACATGTCCCACAAGTCCTCAACCTCCACGACTTTAATTTTATAGCAACTGCCTAAAAGGGAACCCGTAACTAGCTTGTGTAGCCCGAGAAGTTCATACGACCTTTACGTGCGACTTGAAACGTTACAATTTTCTCACAAGGCTCAGAATGTCACTCTCTGATTGTACACAGGTATGCCCGAATGTAGGTGATTTGAGTTGGTCCAGTCGTCATATTCCTCGGTGGTACCATGATAGTACCTCCCAGACGAGTCTTAACGTCCTAAACTCAAGATTACAGTCATGCTGTACAATCTTTGGTATAAAGCAGGAGAAGCGTACACAAAAGCTCCAGTCAAGTCCAACGATAGCTCGAGCATAGAGTTCAGACAGTGATGACTTGTTCCTTATCTTTTGACAACCAACATGAAAGACTTTTGGACTATTTTAGTCACTTTGCAGTCCTTATTAAGCTTGGCGTTTACAGTACCAGTACCTGACAAGCTTAATGTAAGAGATGTGAGAGGTGAATATCATTTTGCTCGTCTTTGCTACATGCTGAGCGTACTACTTAGCAATATCTCAAAGCGACTTCGACACCATCAGCCTCTACGAACAGTACGCAGCCGCGGCCTATTGCCCATCAAACTTTAATGGGTCTGTACCAGCGCTTGTCACTTGTCGTTCCAACAACTGTGATTTGGTGCAAAAGGCTAAGGCTGCAGCTATTTATAAAATTGCCCCGTAAGACCCCTTGAACACGTTTCTAATCTAGGCTGGAATTACGAAGAGCTTAACGACGTTTAGTAATTCGCTTACGGATACCAGAGGCTATATTGCGGTTGATAACGTCAACAAACTAATTGTCGTGGCATTTCGAGGGTCCGAGACAGTCGCCAACTTCCTGGCAAATCTGTTGTCTATTTTTCTTACTAGAGTCGACCTTTGCACAGGATGTCAGGGTGGCAGTGGATTTTGGATTTCCTGGACTAGGAATCGAGCACAAATTATACAACAAGTCAAGAATCTGCTCAATAATCCAGCCAGGCAGAACTATACAGTTTTAGTCACTGGACATTCTTTGGGAGGTGCCATTGGAAACTTTGCAGCATTTGAGCTTAGAATAGCTTTTCCCAAGACTACAGTTGATATGGTACGTCTCGCATCCTGTTCTGAATTCATACCTTGCTATTCTATTTAGTACAACAAGCTCACAGCTTTGATATCTAGGCCACGTTTGGAGCCCCAGCAACCGGCAATCTCATATTTACAAGCCAACTCAGTAAACAAGATCGGATCCGTGGACGGAACTTTCGTGTTAATCATCTTGGAGATCCAGTACCAAATCTACCTCCTATTCGTGGCTTTACAAGCGTCACGCCAGCATTCACAATCAATACAGCAAACCAAATAGTTCCAGCCCCAAAGGATTTTACAATGTTAGAGGGAGCTTCGGCGTTGAATCCAGGTGTTACCAATCCTTTTGATTTTATGCCTCACGCTTTCTACATTAATGCCATTTCTGCATGTTTTGTTACTCCTGCGGCCTTCGTTGCTAATATCACTCTTCCTCTGAAGTTCACTTATGGGTCGGAGTACCCACAAATGGAAGCTAGCCTCTAGGCTTGATGTATCCTCTGATTAGCCTATACCGTTATGTATTTGGTCTATTCGAAGCAGTCGAAGCCATGCTAATTGAATCAGCTGAAAGGTACGAACTTTGCAAACAGCATTCTAGCCGCTTCGTGTTGTCTTTATCAAGGTCTCTCTTGAAAGTTTGCGTCTATTGTGAATTTGGACAGCCTGCTTAGTTAGCGACTGTGAAGTCTGGTAGTTATCGTTCAAATCACTTCAATGCGGCTCAGAACCAAATCAGAACTAGTTGATGTGTTGTTGGCGTCCCATAATGGTAGACTAGATCACACCCTTTTTCTCGATTTTGTTGCAAGTTATAGGAGGAACTCCCTTTCGTCGGTAAACATGATCTTGCTGAGAAGAGTCGCTGCATAGCATCTGGATGATGCGTTCTCGTCGTTTATGCCAGAACCAGGACTCGGGATGCAAGCACTAGCAGATATTGATTGTGCGATTCGATAGCAAGGTGATATTTGAGACAGAATACGTCACAAGATCTGTCCGTGTTTTAACACTGTTAACAGACGGAGTTGTTTCTAAGCTGTGAAAGTTCCAAAATCGATTTTCCATGGAAGATATATCCTTCTCCCGATTTCTTCTGGCTCCTGTATACTATACCCTTCCGTTCTCCAGAAAAATCACTCCTCATAATTACTGGTGTTACACAAGGTTAAAACAATTGTGCGCCAACGACCTTCGAACCATGAATAGTGCATTATTTTAACTGTACAGCTGGTGCATTACATTGTAGGATATATACGAAAATGGAGCAATTTTGTCTCAAATCCAAGCTCCCGTACGTGATGATTCTATATCTTCTTATTAGTACCGTGCTAACCGCATGTAGCTTGGTCTAGTTGGTTCATGACGTTCGGCTGTAATTGATACTATTACCGAAAGGTCTCCGGCTCGATTCCGGAAGGGTAAAAACAATCAAGTCTACACCTTAGAACTTACTGACACTTTGTAGGGAGATCATGATGAGGATCTAGAAGATCACTTTTTTGCTATTTTTACTTGCGTGGTATAGCCTTATTAGGTGGGGTTCAATCACTAGTTCCATTTCTTTTGTTTTTGTATTGAAGCCCATTGCGAGGACTGAAATGCTGGAAGAAGCAGTGGACACGTTGATCTTATTCAGGCGCTAGGTATAATTGTGCGGCCCTAAGAATTCAAGTTGTGTATATACCGCAGAGAATTTTCAGGATGCAACATTAATTAAGCCTTTTTAGGACCCCAAAATAGGTGCTTACTACTCACTAATTTTAGGGGACCCTACATAGCGCTAACTAATTTTAGAGGGTGTAGCGTACTACAGGGTTACTAATTTTAGAGGCTCTAGCTTACTATAAATTGTCCTCTTTGTCTTAGCGTTTATATTAAGCCTATTAAGCACTCAAATAGCTACAGTACTGCGAGCGAAGGGGACAATACTAATAAAGGGGACAACGCTAATCGAAAGGAACAAACAGGCGCTAATTAAAGGAGATAATACATATAAAGATAACGCGTATTAAATCCTAAGCTAGTTCGTAGTAGAATGTATAGTAGTAAGAGCACATTTTAGTGTTTCGCTATAGCTAATCCCTAAGCTATAAGGGCTTTAAAAAATAGTATTTTTAGCTATTTAATAAAGAGGATTAGGAGCGCCTTCCTAATATTAGTTATAATATTAGCTATTAATAGCTAATATTAGCTATTAGTAGTTAAAATAGCTACTATCTAAAAATGCGTTATTTTTAGCTACTATAAGATAATCTAGCTCTTTAAAAATATAAAGGGCTAGATTATATAATTTAGCACGTAACTATTACGTAACACGGCACGTAATTATAATATTAAGATCTAGTAATTCCTAGATCTTAATATTACGTGTTAAATACTATAGATTTAAATAGCTTAAGTAGCTACTATAGGATAATCTAGCCCTTTAGATATAAAGAGCTAGATTTAAAGCTAGTCCTAGATTGGTCTAGCTTTACAAACTTAAGGCTCTTAAGTCCTAAGCTACTTTATAGTAGAATATATAGTAGTAGGAACATATTTTAGTATTTTGCCGTAGCTAATCCCTAAGCTATAAGGGCTTTAGAAGATCGTATTTTTAGCTTTTTTAAAAAGGGGATTTTAGGCTAATAGTAGCTATAATATTAGTTACTAGTAGCTAATATTAGCTATTAGTAGCTAAAATAGCTACTATCTAAAAATACGTTATTTTTAGCTACTATAAGATAATCTAGCTCTTTAAAAATATAAAGGGTTAGATAATATAATCTAGTACGTAATTATTACGTAATAAGGTACGTAATAATACGTAATTATAATATTAAGATCTAGTAATTCCTAGATCTTAATATTGCGTATTAAATACTATAGATTTAAATAGCTTAAGTAGCTACTATAAAATAATCTAGCTCTTTAGATATAAAGGGCTAGATTTAAAGCTAGTCTTAGATTAGTTTAGCTTTATAGACTTAAGGCTCTTAAGTTCTAAGCTACTTTATAGTAGAATATATAATAGTAGAGGTATATTTTAGTATTTTACTATAGCTAATCCCTAAGCTATAAAGGCTTTAGAGGGTTATATTTTTAGCTACTTTATAAAAAAGATAAGAATTTAGCTAAGATTTTATAAGATTAGTAATTATACCTATTAATTCTTATAGTAATTCTAGTTAATTCTTAAGTAAATTCTATTCTTAGTTATAGTTTAGAGATATATTTACTAAGTCTTAAATTTTTAGAAATTAGATATATTTTTACTAGATTTAGCGTTAGCTAGACTAATTACTATAAACTAGACTTAAGTTTAGGATAGTTTATTATTAAGTTAGATTTTATATATAGTTTATAGTTAGTATAATTATAAAGCTTTATATAAGAAATAGATAAGAATCTACTATTTAGCTAGCTTAATAATATTAGCTACTAGATTACCTCTAAAACTCTTTTAGAGTCTTTAGTAAAGAATATAATATATTTCTTAGTTTACTCTTTTAGGGTAGCTTAGAAATAAATATTTATATATTTTTAAGAAAATACTTTTTATATTAAAAAGTTATTTTCTTTTTATTAAATTAATCTATCTTTATTTTATTTTTTTTATTATATTATTAGATAATATAATAAATATTAATTTATTCTATTATCTAAGTAAGTAATAAAACTACTAGAAGGTTAAAGTAGTTTAGTTCTACTTAGATAGTTAGTCTACTTAAGTAAATAGTAAAACTACTAAAAGATTAAAGTAGTTTAGTTCTACTTAGATAGTTTAAAGTAGTTTAGTTCTACTTAGATAGTTAGTCTACTTAAGTAAGTAGTAAAACTACTAGAAGGTTAAAGTAGTTTAGTTCTACTTAGATAGTTTAAAGTAGTTTAGTTCTACTTAGATAGTTTAAAGTAGTTTAGTTCTACTTAGATAGTTTAAAGTA